GGAGCATTTTATTAGGCTGTCCCATAAGTCTTGGGTATTTTGGGGTCGTCGACTTGTGCGAATTCCTGTCAGCTTTGTAACGCATTACGAGATATACCGAACATACGGTTTTGAAGACGACAAATTGCGCTTTTGAGCCGTATATAACGGAGCTGCAGAAAATCTGCCTGCTACCCGCACCACCCCAATATTGTACTAGACATCAAAAAAATTTGTTTGCTGATGTTAAAATGTTTATATACTTTGGAAAATCAGAGGTGTACGCCTACTAAACATGAAAATAGGACGCACAAGAGCCCTAGATGTTATTTTAATTAGGGCAGCAGCACGAGGGACACCCTAATAGACTTATGGGACACCCTACTAGGTCAATATTTCAGGTCAAACCCGTCTAAAAATCTCGGTTTTTTCTGTATCGCGCATGGTAAAAATCTGGCGTAGATTTTGAAAAGTTATAGTAAACACTTGCACCAAGTTTCGTCAAAATCTGAGGTTTCAAAATTTTGAGTTTCGAAAAATTTTTGCCTTGGTCCCCCCTTACCAATTTTTCAAAAAAATTTATTTGCAAAAAACTTTTTAAAGTCGTGATTACTGTATCCAAAACAAATTTTTTTACCTAAAATGTTTACTAAATCTTTCTGTGGACCAACTTATGTCGCTTCAAGTCCAATTTTTTGACTCAAAATCAATAATTTTGTCGTATTTTCCCTACCTTTCACAACGACGTGGAGCATAACCATGGGGAAGGTCGGGGCAAAAACAAAACTGTTCCCTCAATCAGACTGTGGCGTAAATACAAAAAGTGGCCGAGGAATAAATTCGGGGGAATTTTTGATTTTCGGATCTTCACCATGGCAAATTTCAACGCTTCTGAGGTTCTTTTTGAATTATTCAAAAAGTTTTTTCCCGCATATTGGCCATTCATCGGATAGTTGCAGGTCATGATGTAAGAGGTTATTTTTCATTTTTCATTACAACCCTGTGCTTAAAATCATAAGAAAAAAAGAATCCAAGGATTTGAAAAAAAGCTTCCAAAGCTACAATTTACTAGAGATACGACTACAATTTTATGATCATATTGCCATCTCAAGAATCCCTCAAATATTTGCAATGCTCTTCAGACATTTGTAAGGCAATTTTTTGCCAAACTCTTCATTTTTTTTCAAAAATCACTTTTTTTAATTGAAAAAAGTATTATAAATAAAAAATAATTTGAAAAAAAATAATTTTTTTAAATGCCTTGAGGGTAAATGAAAAAAATTAAAATTTGGTAAAAATAAAAAATCTCAAAATATTTTAAAAAGTGGTTTAACCAACCTAGACTTTGCTGCGGAAGAACCAATGCATTCGGCTCGGATTCCCTCCGTGTCCTTGCTGACAGCAGATTCTTGAACTGTTGAGTGTAGCCGCTGACCCGCAAAATGTCCGAACTGACCTGAAAAAAAATTAAAATTAGGATTTTTAAAACAAAAAATGAAATTCAAAAAATACTTTTTTTTTAGTTTTATTAGTCTGTCGGGAAATAGTGGTGGGCAAAATGTCTCGTCTCGTCGAAAAAATGATGCAGCAAGTTTCCAACTGCGGCTTGCCGTCGCATAGCGATGATTGGCAAGGCTCAAAAACCGCCATTATTTTTCCGACAGACTGATATTTTTTATATTGAAAAAATATAAGAATTTTTTAATCTAAAAAAATATCTATTTATTTAATTCAATGACTGATTTGGATCTTTTAAAAAATTTTTTTTTATTTTTTTGAAAAAATGGAAAACCTTCCGCAAAATGTGCCCTAAAAAAGAATATTTCGTGACAAACAGCTTTGTTCTGGTTTCTCCACAGACTAAGAAAAAATAGTGAATAGCCAAAGAACTAATCTAAGCTTAGGCTAAGCCTAAACTAACAAGGGAAGTACTCCAAGTGCGACGCTCAGATTTTCTTTAAATTTTGCACACACGTCGGGTATGGACTAGTATCAATTCCTGAAAGTTTTAACTCGCACTTTTCAGGCGCCGCCGAGATATTGAACGGTCTTTGCCGCCGAGAGAGCACGCTAAACGTGAAGAGCGGTCAGAGAGAAAAACGCTTTTTGGCCATAACTTTGCTTGTTTAGTGCGGAAAAAATTGATTTTTTGTGGAAACATTCCTCTCTATGTTAGAAATAGGCACAAAACTTTTCGTGCCAAAATTCAACAAAAAGTCCAAAATTTTCGCCGACTTTCGATCCAAAAATCTCGGTTGTTTCTGCAAAGCGCGAGCTAGGATTCTCGCATATATCTTAGAAAAAATTATTCTAAATTTGAGCCAAGTTTCATAAAAATCTGAGCGTCGCACTTGGGGTACTTCTCCTGTTAGATATTACTATTGATGTGAGTACATCAATACTCCCCTGTAAGCTTAGGCTAAGCCTAAACTAAGCCTAAACCGCATAACCTGAGCCTAATTTGAGCCTTCTTGCCACCGGGATTATTCGGACGCAAGCTGAAATGGATTTTCTTTTTTTACAGTAGGCCAGTTTGTAGAGCTTTTTTCAACAAAATATTAAAATTTTTTTTTTCTAATTTAACAAAAAATTAAAATTTTTCAACAAAAACAATAATTTACCATTTTTTAACTAAAAAATATTTTTGTTGAAGTACTCCAAAATTACTCATTTTAAAAATCTCTTCTCTTACCCAACTCCTCCTTTTACTAAATCGATCTCTTTCCATAGCACAAATTTTCAAAAAAATAAATAAAAAATCCCAAACAAAAAATTCTAGTCCAGAAAATAATTGCACAACCTCTCTTTAACACAACCTTGAATGCTTTTTAAACACTTGTCTGCAGTTATTTTTGGCTGCATTGACGAATTTTGAAAAAAAAATGCAAAATTGAGTTAGAAATTTGCACCTGGAAGCGCAATATAGAATCATAATTTTGTTAAAGACCCAAAAATATGTGGTAAAGTGGATTATGTGATCTCAAAAAGGGTAATTTGGAAAAATGGGAACCTGCAAAAAATGAAAAAAAAAAATAAAAAAGCTTATTTTTTCAAAATTAAAAAAAAATTAATTGCTAAAAATCGGTTTTATGGTTAAAAAGTATTTTAATAAAAATTATTTTCATCAATTTTTTGAACCTTTATCCAAAAAATTAATAATAATAAACTGTTTTTCAAAATTTACCTTTCTTTAAAAAATAGTGGTTAAAATATCTTTGAAATAAGCCAGCAACAGCTATGCTTTGTTTTTATATCTTACAGTAAACATAGAGTTGGCTCTGGACCTTCTCCTTTCCACGCTGCCCTTATTCCATATATCATGCGGGGTTTGGGAGGCATGCGGCGACAGGAAATACGGCGACGGCAAAGAGCCTCGGTTCATGGCTGTATAAACTACAGTATACTCTTTAGTTTTGTCGTAGATCAAACGACATTCAATCATGATATATAGTAGCAGAGAATAGGAAAAATAAACAGCAATATCACTGGATTCTCGGGTCCACAGATATGTATAATAAAACAATTATCGAGAATATTGAATAACGAACTTTTTGGAATGCATATAGAGTCTCAGTTTGCGATACGAAAGGTCGAAAAGTGTCAGATAGTATGAGCAATGAGCACAGACGAACGATGGCGTGAGGCAACCAATTATGGCCGGATTTGGCCAATTAATGAAATATGAGTGTAAATATCTGTGAAAGCAAAAATATACATATGTTTTTTGAATTTTGAAGAGAAATACTAGTATACTGGTAATCGCGTTGTAAAAACTACAAATTTCGAATTTCTGGAAAAACATGAAATAAGTAGAGAAATGCAAAAAAATAATATCTTACACAAAGAACTAAAAATATTTGTCCTAAAACAGACCGAGAATTTGACTACTTATGAAATTTGACTACTTTTTATAACGAAAAATAACAGACTATTACGTTACGCGGAGAGATGTAGGCAACAAACATCCAATCAAATGGGTAAAAATAAGGTAAGTCTCGGGGACAATGCGTTAACTAAAAGTTTGCTGAAGGCATGCTGAAAATGATAGGACGCAGCTCGGAAAACTGGCACGGGCGCAGCTCGCATCTCGGGCGCAGCCCGGAAAACTGACACGGGCGCAGCTCGCATCTCGGGCGCAGCTCGGGAAACTGGCACGGGCGCAGCTCGCATCGCGGGGGCAGCTCGGAAAACAACGCTTCGCAGCTCGCCGGAGCTGCGTTTCGGCTTGTTTTCGAGCTGCGCCCAAGACGCGAGCTGCGTCCGTGCAAATTCTCCGAGCTGCGCCCTATGATTTTCCGCAAACTTTCAGATAGCGCATTGGCCCCAGTTTGGAAACAAGCTGAAGCTTTGGCGAGCTTCGCAGTCCATTTTCAGCTATCGTTGTGCCCGATTTAGTTTTATTCCTCGAAAGAATTTATTGCACAAGGACTCATTTTATAAGGTAGGTCCCCTTATGTTTTGTGAGGCGGAACGAACGAACCTCGAGCCTGAATTCCCACGGAAATCATCATTTATTACTCAAATTTGATTGTACTTTCCTACATGGGATTTCCCTATATAAGGGCCGATTTTCACTCAATAAATCACTTGAACTCGAGCTTCTCGTCTTATCGTGTGGTTGTCTCCCCGGGCCTCTCGACAGGTTTTATGCATATGTCCTAAAAAGGTTTTTCTCTGACCACGCTCCGCAGTTTGCTTATTCTCTCGCCACAAAGATTGTTGAATATTTTGACTGCCCCCTGAAAGTGCGAGCTAAAACTTATAGATATTTATGTGTGGTATATGGTCTATATGGCACTTCGCTTGTTGGCATAAAATTAAGCTTCGATTTTGAAAAACGACTTCCGTAATTTTTGCAAAGCGCTAGCTATACATCTAGAAATTTTTATACGAAATTCTAAAATACTCTAATTTCACGCTGACCTCCAGAAGAATCTGAACATTGTGCAACTTTCCTTCAACAATTACCGCCGCAAAAAAAATGCAATCTACAGACTGTTTGATTCATAGACGATAATCCACTAACCTTCCCAATTTACCCCCGCAAGTCTATTCCCAGGGCCGGACAAAGCGTCGCAGCTCCAGCACAACAAGTCAAATCCCATGCACTCGGCGCAAACAAAATAAGCAGCGAAATAATGGACTGCCAAAATCGGCCCAACAGCGTTCAAGTCCATTGTCCCGCCGGCCGAATATTTCATTTGCAACTCCGCCGGATTAGGTTCGAATTTAGACGGCGTAATTCGCAAAGTAGCGCCCATTTTAATCAAAGGCAAAAAAGCAACATTGCAGAGAACAAAAGGCAAGAGGATGCTGACGAACTTGGCCGATTCAATTACAGCCACGTTACAACAATGGGATTAGGAGCAAGAGGCGAACGTAAGGAAAGGGCAAGCCGGTTATAGGGCGAAGGTGCGGATAAAAAAAGTAATTCTTTGAAGTGCGAAAAAATGCAAAAATTGGCTGAAACACTTCCTTGGAGTGATACCCTATTCGCGGACATCTCCATTCGCGGGCATTCCCTGTTCGCGGACACGCTGTTCGCGGACGCCCTATATGGAAGGAAATGTGTGACGTCTTCTTTATTCCTCCGGTTTTTGTCCTTCACGGCACGGCAGTAGGCACAGACGTATCGTAGAATTCCGTTTCTATCAGCTTTTCCACCATTGGTTAATGCGTATACCAAACCATCGTCGTCTGGATGGGGCACCAAAAACCTCGTATACGTCCCTCGACGTTGCGACGGCAATGCAACAGGCTTGAACGAGGCTTCTTCATCAGGGTTAGTGATATCCATTGTACAGCGTTGGTAACAATATGACAATATACACGCAGAAATAAGAAATAATTAGACGGAAATACTTGGGCGTCCGCGAATAGGGAAACCCGTGTCCGCGAGTTGGGTGTCCGCGAATAGAGATGTCTGCGAAGTGTCCGACACCCCTTCCTTGCGAGCACTACAAATCGCTGGCAAAATATCTGTCTGTTGTCAGCAAATTAGCCTGTAAAAAATTCCGGTGGGCACTATTACTATCAATATATTCGCATAAACAGCCAATTTTCATGCCGACAGTGTACGCATGTAATGAAAGCCTTTTTATAGGGCTAGCTTGATGCCTAATAGTTGAGAAAAACAGCAGTAAAGTTTGATTATACTAATACGGATTCAATTCATGAATTGGTTTAATTGTGGCATAAGAAGTACACGAAGTGCAACGGTCAGGTTTTCTTTTGATTTTGCATAGACCTCAGTTATAGCCCATATATCAATTCATGAAAATCTTGGCTCGCGATTTGCAGCAAACGCGGTTTTTTCAGCGGCCCTTGCGACAAGAGAGTACGCAAAACGTGGAGAGCTTCAGAGATAAAAACACTCTTTAGCCGTATCTTTGTCAGCTTTATGCCGAAAAAACTGATATTTTGTCGAAATGTTGCCTTATCCATTAGAAACAGGTATGAAACTTTTCATGCCAAAATTCGCAAAATATTGTCCCTTCATTGCCAACTTTCGATCTAAAAATCTCGGTTGTTTCCGTAAAACGCGAACTCGCATATGTCTTTAAAAAAACCCTAAATTGCCGCCAAGTTTCATCAAGTTCTGAGCGTCGCATTTATGCCACTTCCCCTGTGAATAAATTTAAAAAATACTTGCATATTAAACTACATGCTACACGAATTAAAAATTATAATAATCCAACATCACTCATAGCAGAAACCCATTTGCCAGGTGCCTTAGGAGTGGAATGATCGGTAGTCATGCAAGAAAGATTTCAGGACTATATGACTTGGAGAAAAAACAATTGTAATTATTAATGGGCTCATTGCCATTATGCCAATCACGTTTTCCGGGAAAACGTTTTCTGGCAGCAAAAGTTTGTAAACGAGAACTATGAAAAAATTAAAAACAGTTTTTCGAATTTACAACAAAGCGATCAAAGATCGAATTCTCTCTCCATAGGGTTGCTCAGAAGCTATCTTTTGAACCGAGCATTACGGCTTAGCAAAATATCCATACAATTTTTTTGCTTACTGTACCAGTGATATTAGTACTTTCGTAAAGTCGATGAAGTGATTTATGGCGTCTACACTGTGCAGAAAAAGTCAGGGTGCGAGCGAAAGCTCTAAAAACCCCATTGCACGGTGCAAAAAGCGAGAAATCGCACAGCGCAAGCGAACCTTTGTTTGTGTACAATGCACGCCGAAATGACCCCAGCGACTTGGCGAACGGCTAGCAACAGGTTAACTCAATCCGTCGGGAAAATAATGATGCCGCGTACAAAATCAGAAATGATTTGTGTCGCGGCAAAATCAAGCTTCTTTTCATTTCAGCTGGTTGGCACATCAACATTGTGCTCATTATTTTCCCGACAGACTGAGAAAATAATGGTAGACAATTTTTTTAGAAACATTGTCATCAGAAAGCCATTTTATCAGGCAAAAAATTTGCGACTTTCAGCTATTTTCCCACAAAAACCTCTTTGGTTTCTGCAAAGCGCGATTTCAAAAGCTACAAGTGTATCTCATGTTACAAAGTTCTACCTAAATTTGTCCCAAATTGCATCAAAAAAGTTAACTTTTTGCAAACAAAATCAGAAAAGAACAACGAAACACAATAAAGAACTTTTCTGCTTGAAAACTACAATCTAAAATCATTTCCTGGATCATAAAAACAAAGGATCCCTGCAAAAGTTCTCCCAACGTTTTTATGGCCGTCCCTTCGACCCTGCCAAGGATATGGGTGGGAAAGCTGGGTGTAACAAATCCGGTCAGAAGGATCGAGACAGAAATGGAAACCTTCGAAAGACGCTTTCAGTTTTTATATGTATTTAAAAGACGTGAATCTACGTAACAATAGAGGTGAAATTGAGAAGAAAAATTTAGTTAGGACTCTAGGAAAATGCCTACTTAATACAAGGTTAGGCATCAAAGTGAAACGCTCAGATTTTTGTTAAATTTTGCACATACGTCAGGCATCAACTAAATATCAATTCCTGAAAGTTTTAGCTCGAGCTTTGCAGGCGCCGCCGAGATATTGAACGATCTTTGCCGCCGAGAGAGCACGCTAAACGTGGAGAGCGGTCAGAGAGAAAAGCGCTTTTTGGCCATAACTTTGGCAGTTTCGTGCGGAAAAAATTGATTTTTTGTGGAAACATTTCTCTCTATGTTAGAAATAGGCACAAAACTTTTCGTGCCGAAATTCGACAAAAAGTCCTAAATTTTCGCCGAATTCCGGTCTAAAAATCTCGGTTGTTTCTGCAAAGCGCGAGCTAGAATTCTCGCATATCTCTTAGAAAAAATTATTCTAAATCTGTGCCAAGTCTCATCAAAATCTGAGCGTCGTACTTGGAGTAATTTCTCTTTTAAATTTACGGCAAATCTCATCATTTTGGACAAAAAAATAGAATTTTGAAATTTGCAAAAACTTTGACCTTACTATTAAAAAATTTAAATAATTCACAACCAAATAAAGGGGAAATGTTGCCGTTAGACAATTGGACTCAGACATTACTGAAAACTCTTCTTAAAAAATAATAAAGGAAGTAATTCGTATTCAATTCTTTTGATTAATAAAGTCGGGGAATTTCCAGAAAAACAAAAATTGAAAGTTGGCCTCAATAAAAGGCCGTACTATTTAATTTCTGTGGGAGAAGTTGAGGGAAAAACAAACAAAAGAGGCAGTTCTCCTCAGGGCACGAAACTTTCATCTCCCACCGGTCCTCTTGATGATCTCTTGATGATCTGTTTTATGAGATTTCCGGCTAATTTTATGGGGAAAATCGCTTGGAAATAACTTGCAAGATTTTCCAAAGGAACAAAAAGTTTTTTATGCCGTATTTTAGACGGTTTCTAAAGGGCAAAAAATGTTAAAAGCTCTCCGAAAACTAGGATAAATAATGTTTGACGGAGATATTTCAGGAGAAATATCAAGAATAAAGGGAGAAATGGCATTAAACCACTTAAGGGCGCAATAATAAGCCGACTAGAGGCTTAAACGCGTACATGGGATAATGGCATTAGGGATCATCTCTCTCTTGAAGGTTTTCTTGAGATTTGACTGTACCAAAGCTTGTTTACTTCGGTTTATTTAGAAGAATTTATTAGTCAACAACACAGAATGATTGGAATATATCGAGTGAATCTGAACTGAGTTGGATTGTATTAGATTCGGGGGGTATTTATACCCTCCTAAGACGCCAATTACGTAATGTCTCGAAATTTCTATGGCAGAAATTATCGGCAAGTTCAAAAGACGAAATATCTAGAAATGTGTAGCACAGATAAATTCAGATCAACGGAATTTTCTAGACAATATTATTCCGATTTTCTCGGAACACTCCCGGGGGTGAAAATGGCTGTAAGTGCAGATATAGAATTATCAATGGGGTCATTCGTTACAACTGGACTAATTGAGACTGAATTATGAGGATTAATATTTGGAATCTCAACGTAGGCGTGATCTCGGGGCTTGGGTTTGACATCGGATTTGATCTGTTCAGAAATCAGGGTGCGAAAATACTTCTGAATGGTCCAAATTCCAAAGATGGTGATGATAGCACAAATAATGGTGACCCATAATCTCCAGGCGTATAATCCAATTGTATTGAAGTGTTTCTCAATGAGTTCTAGGGTCTCCGGCGTTTTGTGAACTAGAACTTCTTGGTGGTTGATAATTTGGATGAATTGATTTCTTTCTTTCTGTTGACCAAATTCGGAGATATTGAATAACATTTCCACTTCCTTGAGGTGCATTGCACGGAATGTAGTATGGAATGTTTGAAGATGTAGGTCGACGTCCGTGGTCTTCAGTGAATTCGTCTGAATCTGTTGAGTATGACCATTGGGATAAAATTGTAGTGTTCGTCCATTGAGTTCCACAATTCTTGGTTCGGAATCACAGTCTATAGTGCGAGATTCTCGTTTGGTGAGCATTGTAGTGGGATCCAGAAACCAAATGTCATCGGACATCGCTTTGTGGATTCTGATAGGAACGTCTTCGGTACAGGTGTTAGTTTTAGTTAGCTCATACTCGGTTTCCATTAATTCGTGACAATGAGTTACTTCAATGATGGCGGGAGTAACTTGTCGAGCAATGATTGATGTCGTGTTCATGAGTGTTCTGAATACAGTCGTTGGGTCCATCTTGGTCAGGCTTTGCAGGATGGTTCCTTGTTCTTCCAGGACTTTGCACACCATGGAGACGGCTTTCTTGATATTGGTGTCAGCATCCGATAGGGTGTGGAAGTGTGCGTACTGAAATTTCGGCGATATGTTGGATCCGGGTCGGAATTTTTTCATAGGTTGGCTTCCGTCGTGAACAATGGCGTAGTATATTCCTTGAACTGTCGTAAAGAGATCTCCGTAGCACTGTGAGTGGTGTCTTATATAAGTCAGTGATAGTGCAATCTGGTTGCTTTCGTCGATAAATAAGTCATCGTAGCGGGTTCCATCGACTTCTCCTAGTGACACGACATCGCAGCGTTCTTCCATATCGGGTAGCCAGATCATGGATTCGCCTGACCGGAGTTGACATTTACCATCAGTGTATGGGCAGTGGGTGGAATCTCCAATTATAGTTTCGATTGACTTGGTCTTGTGCCGTGCGTGAATTGTCGTTGAAAATAGGAAGCAGTTATGTACCACACTTTCTAATGCACCGCTGAATAAGCTGGAGATTCGGCCAGGAATGTTGAGGTCGAGTGAATTTGTGGTGTGCCATAGAGAACCGTCTTGAGAGAGTTTACCATGGTTGCATTGCTTCGACTTGATCATTTCCTCGCACTCCTTGGAAGGTATGAATATGGTTTCGGTGACATCGGCTTGTCGAATTTGATCTCCAAGTAGATTAGTATATGCTTGTACGGTTCTTCTGGTGATTCGGCATACAAACGCTTCTGTTGAATAAATTTTGTCGTTATCATCGAATAGCATCAGTCTAATCTTTTCGGAGTTGGATGGGTTGAGGTCCTCTCTAATCTTTCCACATTGTGTTGCTTTTGGAGCTTGCCAGTAGCTCTTTTGTGTTGAACATACCAGTGGGTTCTGTGGATCAGTTGATATTCCGGTAGAAATTGCCATGAACACGAATAGCATTGACACAAGGTTTATTGCTGACTTCCTGTTTTGCAGTCGTGGAGAACGTCGTGGTTTCGGTTCGTCGTCCAGGTTATGGTTTCTTTCGGAGGTTGCACCTGATTCGAGTTGTTCGTCTTCAGGTTGGACTTCTAAGGGGAACAGATGGTTTACTGGACGGTGATAACTGCACTTTCCAATTTGGACTTCGGCGGATCTGATGTATCCATCGGTGCTTCTGTGGAGTTGGGTGATTGTGCCGGTTTTCCAGTTGAGTCGGTCACTATCGTCCTCATCCTTTAGAAGTACTACTTCTCCAATTCTTGGTTCTCGCTTGACGGTTCTATCATCTCCAAATTTCCACTTGTAGGTTTCACGGAGATGATTTAGATAGTCGTTTTCGAAGATCTGGTAGAACTTGGTGAGCCGATTCAGGTTTTTCTGGTAGATGTCGAGTAGTTTGTCTCTCGTTCGCTTTTGGGGAAGATATTGTTCGTCATCAGGATCTTCTTTGTCAACGATTGGTAAGCCGATCGACCCTCCGGGGCAACAGAAGTCGATTGGACGAAGTATTGATACTGGTTCGCTGGGTACGTAGGTTAATGGGCGAGTGTTAAGGATGGCTTCAATTTCGACAATAAAAGTTCTCCATTCATCTTTGGTCAGTCGGTTGTGTTGAATTGCGGCCTTGATTGATTTCTTCATTAAGCCAATCAACCGTTCATGGACTCCTCCAATCCATGGGGCTTTTTCAGTGTTGAATTTCCATGTGATTCTCTCCCTCTTGCAGTAAGATTTGACTTCAGATGTGTCGAATATTTGATCCAGGCCTCTTGCTGTTGCTTGAAATTGTGTTCCGTGGTCAGAGTGGATGGTCACTGGTCGTGCTCTGCGATTTGTAAATCTTCGGAAAGCTTGAAGAAAGGTTTGAGCAGATTGATCTTCAACAATTTCTAGGTGGACCATCCTGGTGGATAAACAAGTGATTAAGAGAATCCAAATTTTTTCACCTTCTGCGTCGTTATTGGAAGTTGAATTCGGTTTTTTGGTGATGAACGGTCCTGCGTAGTCCATCGATATGTGTTTGAAAGGATATTCAACTGTCGTTCGTCCTTCTGGAAGGTCGGCCATTGGGGGAAGCGAGAATGGCTTGGCTGACATCTTTTTACAGTATTCGCATTCCTTTAGTGTCTTTGTGACGGAACGACGACCTTGGGGAATCCAACCAATTTGTCGTATGGTAGACAGTGTGTGATTTGGTCCAGCGTGAGCAAGTTGATCATGTACTTTTCGTATCAGCATCTTAGTAAGTGTAGTCCCTTTCGGTAGGTAAACTGGACGAATTGTTGGTTGGATTCGGAAGGAACATCTTAGTACTCCATTAGAATCGGGCTTGATATTAAGGTTTCGGACCAAGGACATGTCGTTGGGATCGATATCGACTTGATTGAGTTTGAAGAGCGTAATGTCTGCGTCTTCCGGGGAAATCTTGAGTTCTTGGATCAGTTTCTCAGCTGCGTCGTCCCATGAGGTGGCGTCTTTGATGATCTGCGACTCCTTGGACATGTCGTCTTTGTGGATGGTGAAGCTCTGGACGATTTGAGTCTTGTTGTCCTCAGCGTCGTCGAGGGCTTCTCTTGGAATGGTAGCTTTGCAGATGGGCCATTCCGAGCGGGTTTTGTTGATGAAGGACGGCCCTGTCCACCATAGTTGATGTTCGAGGAGTTCTTGAGGGGAGCAGCCTCGGGATGCGACATCGGCAGGGTTTTCTGTTCCGGGGACATGTAGGATCTCAGCGTGGATTTTGTCCCTGATCTCGTTGATCTCTCTCACACGGTTCTGTACGTATACAAGTTTGCTTGGAGTAGACGATGTAGTCCATGACCAGGCTGGGGTTGAATCGGTGAAGATGTAGACTTCAAATTCTTGTAGATCCAATTCTTTGATGACGTACAATGTTAGCCGTGCGCCAATAAGTAATCCGTTGAGTTCGAGTTTTGGGATGGAAAGTATGGGGTTTAGTGGAGCTACTCGAGATTTCGAAGTAATGAGTGCTCCGTTGATGTAGACGACGGCTGCGAAGGCTTTTGTGCTGGCGTCGCAGAATGTCATTATAACTGGTTTTCTCATCTTGACGTATCTTGGAACTTTGAAGGTCGGAGCAGATATCCATGTCTCCTTGATCTTCTGCCAGGATTCCACAATGTGCCGTGGTAGTGGGTCTTTCCATCCAATATTTAGTTTCCAAATTTCTTGCATTAGTAGTTTCGCCATGAGTAACATCGGGGATATTAATCCAAGTGGGTCAAAGATAGATTGAAGGTCGCTGAGGACGGTTTGCTTCGTTGGTGTCTCCTCGTAGTTGAACTTGGGTAGACGAATTGAGAGCGTGTCTTCTTCTAGATTCCAACACATTCCAAGAAATTTGATGGTGTCGCTGCATTGAACGTCTTCCGGTGGGAGATGTTTGAGTACTTCTTTGGAGTTTGAGGCGAATTGACGAACGTTCATGGATGCTTTTTGGAAGAGCTTCTTGACATCGTGGAACTTTTTAATGGCTTCTTCCGGGTTGTTGGCTCCGAAGTTCAGGTTGTCGACGTATGTGTCTTTTATAAGGTCGTTTTTGATCGTACTTGGTGCATAGTTTTCGGTGTGAAGTTTGAGCGTCATTCCAAGAAGCGCTGGGCTTGCCTTACATCCAAAAAGTACACGAGAGAATCGATAAACTTTGATGTTGTCGTTGGTCGGTTCTTTCGATGGTTGTTTCAGCCACAAGAATCGTACACAGTCCCTTTCATCTTCTTGAAGTTCCATGTTGAGGAAGGCTTTTTCTATATCGCCAATAAGCAGGATCTTCGGTTTTCTGGATCGTAGGAGGACGGCTGCTAAATGCGGGGCTGTGACGGGACCGCGTTCCATGGCGTTGTTTAAACTGTTTTTGCCGGCACTTGCGTCATATACCATTCTAATCGGTGTAGATTCGTGGTCTTCTCTTTTTACCATCAAATGGGGCAGGTAATGTTCGGTTCCTTGAGTGGGCTTCTTTGGATCGACTTCTTCGATTATTCCTTTTCGTAGTTGATCTTGGATTATTTCGTCGTATTTTTCCAGGTCAGGCGTTTTGGAAATATTTTTCCATAAGGATCGAAGACGAGCCAGTGCCAAATTCCAGTTGTTTGCTATGAAGGGTTTGGGGTCCTTCCAAGGCCATCGTACAGAATATCGGCCGTTGCTGAATTTGGTTGTCTGGCGGAATTGATGTTCGACTTTCTCATCTATGGTAGTTTTGGCTTCCTTCCCGTTGATGGCTAGGGTCTCCAGGGCCCATAGGTTTTCCAGTTGATCGTGGAGTTCTTCTTCCCTTTTGTTCATGCAGGTGAAGTGGGTAGCGGCTTCGTTGCTGTTGGTGTTTCCTTTTCCCATTAGTGCTGGTCCAAGTTTAGTTTCCAGGATTGAGAAGCCACTTTGCGTGTCTCGTAGGTTCATTATCTCTGCCAGCTCGTTGGCTCCCAGAAGTACGTCAATATCGTCAACTGTTGTTTGGATGACGGAATCGGTTGATTGGAAATCCGTTGCGATCTTCATTGGTTGGGTTATCTGATCAACTAGGAAGACTTCGGTGTTCAGTGTAGTGTTACCATTTAGGGATTTTAGACCGAGTTTTGCCAGCATCGTGTCGTTCTTGGATCGTTTTCCACCAAAGCTTGTCGTAATGATTGTTTCGTTCTTCAGTATTTTTAGGTCTAACTGTTTGGCAAGTCGGGAAGTGATGTAGCAATCATCGGCGCCTGAGTCGAGCAAGCAGTTTACCACATGGCGTTGGGATTTCTTTGATGGATTGAACGCTTCGAGGCGAAGAACGGGCAATAATGACTTCATTCTTCCTTTGCATGACAACATGGATCGGGTATGCATGGTTTCTTCAATGTCGGATTCCTCGCAGTTTGTGTTCGTTATCATGGTTCGTGATTTCTGGGACTTCTCGGGCTTCGTAGGTTCTTTCCTTTGAGGTTTGGGCGTAAGTTTGAAACAGATCAATTGGTGGTGTCCTTGTTTCTGGCAGTGACGGCATGTCGCTTCACACTTCGGGTGGTTGGTCGAAAGGCAGGCTGTGCATCGATTCAGCTCACGAAGGCGTTTTTGACGTGCATCAGACGTTGCGTATGTTTTGCATTCGGCGTTCAGGTGATCCTTTTGACAGAAGATGCATGGTAGCTTCTTTTTGACGGCTTTTTGGATGATGTGAGCTGAGTTTCTTCGGTTGAAATCCAGGTTGGATTGGTGATGGCGGAATGCAATCATCAGCTCCTGTTCGAGGCTTTGAATTTCTTGGAGAACTTGACGCATTTGAGATGTGCTCCATTCGTTGCTTTTCAATTTTTCTTTGGCTACTTGTCGTCGGATTCGGTCGGGGAGAGCTTTTTCGATGGCGGTGATGATCTCTATCGTGTTTGTGTCCATTCCAAGCGTTTCCATTTGCATTAGGATGCTCTCGATATCGGTGATAAAACGGATGATCGATGACGAGTTAGAGTCGGGTTTCCTCATGGTTATTATCTTGTCGACCAAACGCTGCTTTTGAGTGTATTCGTTGCCATACTTTTGTTTTAATAGCTTCCATGCGTTGTTTAAGTTCGTTCCAGTGCACGAGAATCTCGGGATTATGAGACGTCTCGCTTCTCCTTCCAGGCTGTTGGTTAAGTATTGCATCTTAACCGTGTCGGATAGCGATGTATTCTGGAGCAGGAATTCTTTTACCATGTCTTCAAAATATTTCCAATCATCAGTGCTGCCTCGGAATTTGGGGAGGTGGATACGTGGCATATGGAATTCTGGCTTGGTGTCGTTGGAGTAGTCTGTGGCTGTCGAGTTTGTCGTAGGTTGTCTTCCATGGTTGAGTTTCTCTTCCAATCGCTGGGTTGCTGCTTGCCAAAGGGAGATGCATTTCTTTCCTTTGAGAGAAAGATCTTCTAGTTCCTCTATCGTTTCAGAGAGATGTTTGTCTTCTTCGAACTTCTGTAGAATTTCGCTTTCCGTTCTTTTCTCGTCTTTTTCGAGCTGCATGAGGAAGTTGTGCCACTCGTTCTGCTTGTTTCGTAGGTTAGTTAAGCACCGTTCGATTGATGCGTGGTCCGCCTCGTACGTTACAGTAGATGATCGAAAAAATTGTAGTTGCTCTTCCTCGGTGGCGTTCGGTTTCGGTTGGGGATTTTCGAATCGTGTAGTCTCCAAGTGTTGCCTTGCTCGTTTCAAGGTTGGACAGATGCTTTGACGAAGCACTCCTGAGATGGTCATCGTAGGTTGAGTAGTCGTGGATCGAATACTAGTAGCTCGAATAGTGGTTCAATTTGGCTTAGCCCCCATGTACCAAAGCTTGTTTACTTCGGTTTATTTAGAAGAATTTATTAGTCAACAACACAGAATGATTGGAATATATCGAGTGAATCTGAACTGAGTTGGATTGTATTAGATTCGGGGGGTATTTATACCCTCCTAAGACGCCAATTACGTAATGTCTCGAAATTTCTATGGCAGAAATTATCGGCAAGTTCAAAAGACGAAATATCTAGAAATGTGTAGCACAGATAAATTCAGATCAACGGAATTTTCTAGACAATATTATTCCGATTTTCTCGGAACATTGACCGATCTTATAAAGCTGGTAAATGGATAGACTTTTGCTTTGAATTCAAAAAAAATGTGTTTTCATTTTCGTCACGTAAAATCTCCAAACAGGCCATGGCTAGGGACTTGAAAATCATTGTCACCAAAAAAAAATGTGTCACAATGACACCCATTTAAAATGTGCGTGTGGTATAAAGAATGACTGTATATGGGTAGGAATACTTCCTAGAGTACCGACAAAAAAATTTAGGTCCAAAACTTTAAGACTGCGCAAGTTGGATGACGGATTTTCTGGATTTGTTTGCGGGAGAGCTTTTGCGATGTCCGAAATTTCGTGACGTGCATTAAGCAGTGCTCCTAGACATATACAGCCGTTTTTTATAACACTACCGTATTCTTAAATTGGTGTCATCGTGACGCATTTTTTGGACACCCAATGACTTATGATTTACATCCCAGAAAAGCCGTTTTTTGGCATTGGTTTTGCAATTTTTAGAAAAGAAAATTTTCCCAAATCACTGCCAAATTGCCAAATAAAAAAAACTACGGTTTGCCAAAAGCGACCCAAAAATAAATATCAATCTCAAGGAGTAGAAATTGGAGGCAGTCTCACAATTCTAGACAGCCTCCTAAACCCTGTCTAAATATAATATATCCATGTGCGTCAAACCGTCTTATCGCAGCAGATAAAGTCGTTAAACCTTCGAATCCAAGACTCAGGCAAATTTTACAACCGGTTTGAAAGTCGGATATCACAAAAAAATTGGTCAACTCCTCAAAAGATTTTGTGGAAAACTCTGCAAAAATCATCAAGAAAATTTATGGCCAAACTTTCCCAATATGTCCGAGATTTTTGGTAATTCGAAAAACTGTTACTGTTTCAAGAGTACACTATAATAATATAAATAATAAAAGCGACTAGAAGAATTCGAAAAGACCCCTAGCCCCGTCAAAATTTGACATTTTATGGGACAATTTTTTATTAGGTTCGTCTATGATGCGTCGAATCAAATAAAAACTCTGGCGAGAATTTCGTAAGTTCCGTCTGCCCTTAGGCAAAACGGATTTGCAAACAATGTCGCGGGGATTATTGGTTTATAAGTTGAGAAACAGATGAACTGAGGGGCTCGTACTAGTCCTTCCGGAAAGTCGGCGGACTAAAATCGGCGATATGCACTGTGCGAAAAACAAAGTTATTTTTTTGCACCGTGCAGTCGGCTTTTTTTGGGCCTCGCATCCAAACTTGTTTCGCACAGTGCAAACGCCAAAAATCAGTCCGCCGACTTACCGGAAGGACTAGTAAGCGGTTTAAATGTATGTAAACACATGGTATGCAATTTTAAAAGTACATCTACTTTTGAATCGCGCCTTTGCCTGGGAAATGGAATGTGAAAAAAGTTTTTTTTCTCTCACGAAAAACATCGTCAAAATAATTTTTAAAAGTAAAAATTTTTTTGTAATTTTTAGGTCAACGACAGCTCATTTCGAATCGATCAATAAAAATGGATTTATTCGAGATGAAGGACAAGCGGAGACGTAAAAGAGGTAAAAATACAGTGGGGGGCTGATCCAGTGGCAAAAAACGTATCATTTTGCATCCAGGAAGTATCAAAAATGTGGCAAAATGCTTCCCTCTCCAAGTGAAAAAACTTCGTTTTGAAAGGCCCTCACAAAAAAGAGCGGGCGCGCTTTTAAAATCTGAGTTTTTTCACCTGGAGAGGGAGGCATTTTGCCACATTTTTTGATACTTCCTGGATGAAAAATGGTACGTTTTTTGCCACTGGATCAAGTCCCCAACTGTAGGTGTACCCGCGAGGCCTGGCAAAGACATTAAATATCTCGCCGATGCTCCGCGAAGGCTCGGCGGAGACTTGAAAAAGGTTCACAACATTTTACACCTATTATAATCTAAATTTTAAATCTTTGTTTAGAGACCGAAAAAGTCATAAATTGAAAATTCCCATGCGAAAAAAGCGCTTAACGTCTTCTTAAATACGTTCTAACGTCCCATTGACGCCGAAAAAACTGTCGAAGCCTGGATTAACCGCTGATGCCTCCGGCAAAAATAATAAAAAAAAGCAAACGGATGGACAAAACATGCTCGGAATTACACTACTTTTTCGAATTAGTAGTGTTCGAATTCAGCTTATTTAATTACCCTGAGCAACGATTACTTTTTCTCGAAAACAAGCATTCACAAATCCCAGCGGAAATCTGTGCTATTTGAAAGGTTAAGTGGTGGGGTAACACGATTACTGAAATAAGAAAAAAGGGCAAAAACAAATTCTTCTTGGAATTTTTAATTCTTGAAAAGAGATTTTTAGAGTAAAAAAATTTTTTTTAGAAATAAAAGAATAGAAAAAAAATATGCGGTATTTTTGAAAAAAACACTTGAAAAAAATAAAATATTTTTTGATGAAAATTAAAAAAAAAGAGTAAAAAAAATTTTTTTAATTTTTATTCAAAAAAAATTTTATTCAAAATTAGAAAAATTTTTTTTTCGCTTTCCAAAGTTTATTTTGAAGGTTTTTTATTATAATTTTTATTTTTTTAAAAGCAAAAAAATAAAAAAAAATAAATTTTTTATGTAAAATAAAAATAAATTTTTTTTCTTTCCATAATCCACTTTACAAATTTTGATATCCTTATTTTTTCATCTGTTTCTAGACGTATAAATACGGTATTGAAAGCCCACCTGAGCAATGGGATTGGCGCTTTTGTTGACTTGAGAAAAGTCCTGATGAAGGCTTCCCGGCGGACTCCAATCACAGCTTCTGTTGTATCGCTGACGTTCGAGGTTCGGGTAGCGGCTAAAAAAATACTTAATTTTATAAAAACAAAAAAAATAATTTCGAAAAATCAAAAATGTGAGATTTTTTTATTTTTATTTTAAACCTTGGTCGTGGAGATGCTGCGGTTACTGTGGCGCCTTTTATCAGACATCGACCATCCGGCCCAAACGTCGGCATTCTGGAGAGTTTTCAAAAATTAGGATAAATTGGCTTTTAAAATACGCGGCTGTTAAATGACGGTTCATTAAAAATAAATAACAATTTTAAATATTAGGAAAAATCACCCAAAAACTCGAAAAAATGACCAAATTTTCGAAATCATTATTTTCTGAAGGCAGAGAAAGGTCAATTCAACATATATTTTTTTGAAATTCAATCCGTTAAAAATGGCGGGTCTCAGCTCCAGAAAAATCTAAATTTCGGGAAAATCGGCGGGTCTCCGCGGAGAGATTCAAAGAAAAAACTTACCCGTTTCGAGTGGCCCACCCTATACCTCCTCGATTTTTGTAAAGTGAAAAAACAACCCCACCAAACGAAGCCTTAATTATACATTTTTAGAACAGTCTTATTTTAAGAGAAAAAGAATACTTATTTGCCCCGTGCACTTGAAAAAAATATCCCCCTAACTATAAATAGCATCCAAAAAAGGTATTCGAACACCTATCAAAACCTATTTTAGAATAAACCTCCCAGCCTTTGAATGTGTCCCTAGGCGTGTAAAAGCATAAATGCCCTTAGGACATAAAGAAATAAAAGTACTTGGTGTCTTCCAATTCAACGTTTTTATTTCCCCAAAACACATTGATACACGAAAGACGTAAGGGTCCTGAAAATGACACCTTTTCTTTTGTTTTTATCCAAAAAACGGCACGTTTCGGGTCAGCGACAATTCGGGTCAACGATACTGTGAATTCGTCGTTATAGGCATGGGGGAGGCAAACAGAAAGCCTGGTTAGTAGGAATGATAAGATTGATCGGGTCCTAGGATAGCTTATCACCCATTTTAAGGTATTTTAAATACATGTACTCACATCAATAGTAATATCTAACAGGGGAAGTACATTAAGTGCGACGCTCGGATTTTGATGAAACTTGGCACAAATTTAGAATAATTTTTTCTAAGATATATGCAAGAATCCTAGCTCGCGCTTTGGAGAAACAACCGAGATTTTTAGACCGAAAGTCCGCGAAAGTTTGACAATTTTTCTCGAATTTTGGCACGAAAAGTTTCATGCCTATTTCAACTGTAAAGGATAATTTTTCTACAAAAAATCAAATTTTTCCGCACAAAACTGCCAAAGTTATGGCCAAAAAGCGCTTTTCTCTCTGACCGCTCTCCACGTTGAGCGTGCTCTCTCGGCGGCAAAAATCGTTCGATATCTCGGTGGCGCCCGCAAAGCGCGAGCTAAAACTTTCAGGAATTCATATTTAGTTCATGTCCAACATGTGTGGAAAATCTAAAGAAAATCTGAGCGTCACACTTGGGGTACTTCCCCTGTGAGTAAAAGTTACGGATCTTTGTTTTTTGCCGCAAATTTTCATCTTTTATATGTTACAATAACTCAGGGTAAATACAACTAACGTCAGTAATAGCTAAAATTCCAAAGAGCGGACATATTGCAACTCTTCGCCAAGTCTCTGCCGAGTCTCCGCCAAGCGTCCGCCGACATCCAACGGGTTTGCAAGGCCTCGTGGGCACTTTCGGCACCCTTTTTTGGGTATCTAAGTACCCTACGATCCATACACATTGATTTTGTGCAGACCCGAACTGTTGCTAACCCGAAAAGTCGAATCTCAAAAGAAACAAAATTAAAGTGGTCGATCTACTTTTTAAATTCATTTTTTTTTGTGTTTGAGACGACTCATTGCCCGAAAATGAGCTAATCTCCCCCGCTACAGGGAAACGAATTTGAGGTAGGCCCTGTAATTTTGTCGACGTGATGCAGGAAATATTGGGTGTAATTAGCAAAAATTCTCGTGAAAGGAGGGTGAGGATTAGTGCGGATGTCGGCCAATTAACTCTGGTAAACATGACAAACGAAATGACAGAAGTAGTGTCATAACAAGTCGAAAATAGAAAGATTTGTCAAGCACAATGTTTGTGGGTCCGGAAAGTCGCCGGACGGCGTAGTAAGGGATCTCTGAGTAAAATATATATCTATATATCTATGAATTGGAAGGGGATTTAGGAAAGAGATATTCAACGATTCGAGGGATACGCAAAAGGCGGAGAGCTGCGAAAAAACGCTTTTTCTCATGCCTCCGTCAATTTTGCGTGAAGAAATTCATTTGTCGTGGAAGCACTGCCATATACGACAGTACAGTTATAAAAATTTTCATGCCAAAAGTCCCCAAAAGACGCTATACGATTTTCGCAAACTTTCGACTTGAAAATTTTGGTCGTTTCTGCAAAAAGCGAGCTACAATTCTCGGATGTGACCTAAACAGTTATTCTTCAAATCAGAGCCGACTTTTATCAAATTTTGCGCCATGTCAAAGGCTCCTTGTAAACTTTTGATAGGAAACTCGGAATAGACAGAACAAATAAAAGTTGAAGGCAACATTCCCTGGTGCAGCATCATTTTCTCACCTAAAGTTTTTTCTCACCTTTGCTTCTCGCTGGTCTCACAAGGGAGTATAAAAATTCTCATGTTATTGGGCTGCTATTACATACGTACATGAAATAATAAAGATTTATAGAATGTTCCTACAACAACACACCAAAATATTCTTTTTTGTCAATCGGCAATTTGCACTCAAAACATTTTCTCTTGAAATGTGCGACATTTCGCTCACAATTAGTGTGTCTCGACCGTAACAATACTCGAAAGTTCGTGTTAAACTTTTCAGCAATGATATGTGGCATATTTACTACGCTTTTTTAAAAGTGCGTAGGTATCTTTTACGGTTGAAATAGGCATGGAACTTTTTGTGCCGAAATTCGGCAAAAAATCCTAAATTTTCGTCGACTTTCGATCTAAAAATCTCGGTTGTTTCTGCAAAGCGCGAGCTAGGATTCTCGCATATATCTTAGAAAAAATTATTCTAAACTAAATTTGTGCCAAGTTTCATCAAAATCTGAGCGTCGCACTTGGAGTACTTCCCCTGTAAGCCTTTTTTCAACTGCGAGACAAACAATTGCACATTGCAAAACGAAGAAAAAAGCCGCGAAAAAAGTCTACGAACATTTGAAAAAGCGTTGTAGTAGAATATGTCATCGAAATATGGAGGAAATCAAAAAAATCGGCAATTATTCCCCCTGGCAGAACCTCTTTTAGCCGTGTCTTTATTGAATTAATAGTATTTTTTGAAAATCCACACATAAATAAAAAAATAGGGATCTCATGCCTTAAAATTGGCTCTAAAACGACACTTTTATGTTTGTAAACCCCTCCCATTTACCTCCATTCCAAATTCTAACCTTTATCCCGCATATCAAAACACGTGAAACCCGACCCGTTTCGCCCGACGAAAAATGTCGCCATTCCCAGATGATTTCCCCTCAGGCAACAAAAACCACGACGGACGGAAAGTGGGTTATTTCTACGAAACAACTGAATTAGGATTTATATATGCAATTACGTGTGGGAAAAGGTGTTCGCAAAACGTTTTCCCTTCAATTCTAAGCGTTCAAAAAAAGTTTCTTCGCTTCTTTCGCCTTCGAATTGAAAATTGGGACAAAGAAGCGCCTAAGAAGGGAGTTACGGACAAAAAATGTTTGCTCGAATTTGTTATTGCCGACATGGGAAGTGCCTCGGATTTTCTTCAAATTTTTCTTGCAGATCGGGCATAGGCCAGGTATCAATTTCTGAGAGTTGCACGTCAAAATAAAAAGGGAATTTCGTCAAAGCCGTGGCGATCCGCGAAATAACGATTTGCGATTGGCGAGAGGAAGAGGGCGCACGCACAAAAAGGAAGAGAGCGGTCAGAGAAAGAAGAAAAAAATCGGCCGTTGCTTTTCGCTGCGGCCCCTCACGAAATTTAGTTTTTCTTCTATTTTCATTCTGACGTGAGTTGTAGCTTGCAGTTTGCTGGGGTAGCCGAGATATTCGACGATCTTTGCCGAGAGAGTACGAGGAACGCGGAGAGCGGTCAGAGAAAAAAAAATTTTTTTTTGGCCAAAATTTTTTTCTGGCAGGGGAAGTACTCCAAGTGCGACGCTCAGATTTTCTTTAAATTTTGCACACACGTCGAGTATGGACTAAATATCAATTCCTCAAAGTTTTAGCTCGCGCTTTTCGGGCGCCGCCGAGATATCGAACGATTTTTTGCCGCCGAGAGAGCACGCTAAACGTGGAGAGCGGTCCTAATATCCTAAAAGCGCTTTTTGGCCATAACTTTGGCAGTTTCGTGCGGAAAAATTTGATTTTTTGTAGGAACATTATTCTTTACGGTTGAAATAGGCATGAAAATTTTCGTGCCGAAATTCGGCAAAAATTCCAAAATTTTCGCCAACTTTCGATCTAAAAATCTCGGTTGTTTCTGCAAAGCGCGAGCTAGGATTCTCGCATATATCTTAGAAAAAATTATTCTAAATTTGTGCCAATTTTCATCAAAATCTGAGCGTCACAGTTGGAGTACTTCCCCTGTGAGATGTAAAATATTTTACAATCTATATAAAATTTTAAAAAAATAACTGTTACATACGATTCAATCTCATCATCAGCCACAACAAAAAAAAATAAACCCCATGTTTTCGGCGATATCCAAAATTTTACACTGGAATTTCAGAAGGCGTGTAGAAAAATTTAGGCCCCGAAAAGTGCAACTTTTTGGGTGGTAAATAATAAATGGCAAAACGCCGGGAATTTCAAGAATGTTTGACCTGTTAGATTAAAATTCGTCACTCTTTCAGAGACCAATAAAGAAGTTTCGGGAGGAAATTAAAAATCGGTCGGAATTGTTTGAAGATCTTTGGGGTTTACGATAAATGTGCAAAAAATTTGGTTGACCCTGAACTCTCCCCCTTTTTGAACACTCCCCCATTTTGAAAATTGAAAAAATGAGGTGTAACATCTTATACGATGAAAAATTTTTTTAAATTGAAAAGAATAAGGTGTGACATCTTATACGATGAAAAATTTTTTCAAATTGAGAAAAATGAAGTGTGACATCTTATACGATGAAAATTTTTTTCAAATTGAAAAGAATGAAGTGTGACATCTTTTTTTGAAATT